ATATTTCACTTACTGAGTGAGTCCCTTCTGGAAGTGAATGACCTGGTAGACTTGGTGCACTAAATGATTGCACTGAATAAAGTTAACCCTTTACGCTGTCAGAGGAGTTTAGCGTGAGTAACTGCCAACCAAGGTGCTCCCCAGGCACAGACACATAAACCCAGGAGGCAGTGGGGATCTTCTGCAGGAAGGATTAAGAAGAAAAGCAGATTTATGCCTGTGGGTAGGGGCATGAAAACCCTGCCCATACTAGAGCAAATGTTGTCACTTTATTTTTCACTGTTGCAATGCAGTTTGGGGGAACTGATAAATGACTTCTGTGACTGAAGGCCTTGTTATATAGCCTTGTGCTGGTGCTGCTCAGAGATGGGTCATCCACAGGTGTAAGTTGTTCCTGGACTGGCACTGAGTGTGGCACTGACAGTGGCAGTGGGGGTGGCAGAGCCCAGCCAGCAGGGTGAATTCAGCCCCAGGGTTTCACATCACAGCTTGAAATCCAAGTTACCTCGTCTTCTGTCTCCTTGTGGTAGCTCCTTCAGGAGAGTTACCCTGGACTTACAGCATCCCAGAATGGTTTGGGTGGGGAGGGACCTCAAAGCTCAGCTCGTCCCACCATGGGCAGGGACACCTTCCACTAGCCCAGGTTGCTCCAAGCCCTGTCCAGCCTGGCCTTGGACACTTCCAGGGCTGGGGGAACCACAGCTTCTCTGGGCAACCTGTGCCAGGGCCTCCCCACCCTGACAGCAGGAATTCCTTCCCAATCTCCCATCTGTCCCTGCCCTCTGGCACTGGGAAGCCATTCCCTGTGTCCTGACCCTCCATCCCTTGTCCCCAGTCCCTCTCCAGCTCCCCTGGAGCCCCTTCAGGCCCTGCCAGGGGCTCTCAGCTCTCCCTGGATCCTTCTCTTCTCCAGGGGAACCCCCCCAGCTCTCCCAGCCTGGCTCCAGAGCAGAGGGGCTCCAGCCCTGGCAGCATCTCTGTGGCTTTCTCTGGACTTGTTCCAACAGGTTTGAATATTATGAATTATAGAATCACAAAACAATTCAGGCTGGAGAGACCTTTGCAAGCCACCTATTCCAATCCACAGTTCAAAGCAGAATTAACTTCCCAGCTTGATTGTGTTTTTCAGGAACTTGTCCAACCAGTCTTTGAATGTCCCCAGGGCTGGAGATTTCACAAGTTCCACGGGCAGCCTTCAGTGCTTAACTACCCCCACTAGGAAAATATTTTACATGTCTAGTCAGAATTTCCCCTGCTGCATGTTGTGACCACAGATTCTCATCTTTTTTTTTAAATTTTATCTCCTGTGCCTTGGGAATAATTGTATATTCCCTAAAACCACCCCCTCAGTAGCTGAAGAGAGTGGTGTATAACCCTTCACCTTCCCTTTTCCAGGCAAACATGTTCCTCTCACTGCAGTGAGAGCAAACCCAAGGAAACCAGTGAGATATCACTGATTCTATGCAAGGCAAGGTTTGTGGTGAAACAGTGAGAATTTGAGGAGAGGAACATCCTTTAGGTCACACAGAGTAGTGAGTAGAACAGAACAGTAACATCAATGCTTACCCAAGTCCTTGCTCTAGAGCACTGTTTTATATTTTGGCTGCAAAAATCCTTCAAGCACATAGGGCTGTCCCCAGATGTGTATTTCAAACTATTGTTTGGAGGGCAAGGAGTTGTGGGCATAAAGATTCTTGGTTTGGAAGTTGCAACCATCCTCCTCATCAAAGGGAAACCTGAGAGAGAATCCTAACTTTTTTCTAGTGATGTTGATAGCACTTGAAAGTCAAGAGCAGTAAGGGGAAAGGTCCCCTATCCCCTCATTTACAGAGCACTGAGGGATAGACTGGAGCTGACTCACTGTGTAAACATGAGCAATTTCTTCTATTTGCAGTGAGATGCTTTGAAATCCTCGTGTACAAATATTTGCAAGAAAACGACTCGAAATTTCTACTTTAAGCAAAGTAAACAATCTTTTCAAGTGCCCTTGGTTTACCCAGCTGACAGACAGCGTAGCACAGACGACCCATTCTGGCAAGTGCTGTGTGAAAGGGCCTGGAGCTGGGCCAGGTCTGCTCACTTCAGGGAAAGCAAACACTTGAGCTTGTCTTTGTTTTACTCCATTAAATCTTTCAAATGTCAAACGGCTCGTTAGCCGGGGTGGCACTGTAACTGCAGGGCCGGGAAGGAGTGCTGGGGGGTGGCCGTGTGGGAGGCTGCTGTTGTCCAAAGGATGGGTTAACCTTGAGCTGGGGATTTCAGTCCTGTGCTGGCCTCCTCTCCCTCTTCCCTGGGTTCATGTAACATGCTGGTGCTATGCCCAGGAGGAGCATTAGAGGACTGGTTGTTTCTCCCAAACAACCCAAACCCAGAAGTGCAGGGCAGAAACTCCATTCATAGGCAAGTGCAGCTTTTCCTGCCTCTCCTGTCCACGGGTGAAACAGTGTTGGTGATTAAGGTGATGCTGGTGGGGGCTGTGTCTGTAGGGCAGCAGGGCTGCACTCCCAGCACATGGTGCTGTGCAGGGATCTCACACAGAGCTTGTGAACCTCATCTGAGACCCCCCAGGAGACTCCAAGGAGGGGGATTTATGGCTGGCTCTGAAGGAGTAACCTTCACCCTTAATAAATAGAGATTTTTTTTTTTTTTATTCCCTGTTATCCTTGCTTTTCTTGAGAGAATTGTGGTTTAGTGTGTGCTGATAAAGATTTGGTCTTGCTTTTACAGCTGTCTCATTTCTGCTCAAGCATCCCCCTCAGAATAATATTTATTGCAGAGCTTTTTTTGTTCAGGAACCAGTCTGTGGAAAACCAAATGGAATACATATATATTTTAAGGGAAATGCATAAAGTCATAGATAATTTATTTTCTTTCTTGAAATGTTGCCTTCTTGATCAGTGATATCTCAAGGAGGAGCAGGATAACTGCTGCTATTTTAAGCATCTGTGGTTTCAAAGTTTAACTCCAGTACAAAATTATTGCATCTACTTTCTTCTGAGAGCATGACAGAAGTGTACAGATGGGCAGGGTGGAGAGCAAATAATAACAAATGGTGGGAGTTACAACATCAAATACAGACAGGGAGAGATAGTGAAATTCCCAAAGATTTGAGTGGAGCTGAGAATGTTGTAAGTAGCTGCAGGCTAGAGCAGCTCCAGCTGAGAATTCCTCCTGCCTGGCTTCTGGAGCTCAGTCCTGCACCCAGGGGCACCTGTGGGGAAGGAGCAGAACTGCACCAGGTTGTTGTGGGCTCCAGCAGCCAGTGCTGAGAACCCAGTCCCTCCTGTAGCTGGTGGTGAGCCCAAGTCCCTCCAGTGGCCGGTGCCACAGGTCCCTCCAGCCCTGTTCTGCCTCGAGGAGCTGGCACCCAGACCCCTCACACCAGTCCCCCCAGCAGCTGACACTGTCCTTGCAGGACAGAGAAGGGACAGGGAGTGAGATCATGAGATCAGAGGGAGAGTTAAGACCCCTAAACATTAATAAGAAGAGGACAACCCGTGGTGGTCAGGGGCAGGCTCAGGCACTGCCTGGCAGTGTTTGACAGGTGACAGGCCCTCCTCCTTCCTTTGCTCCTCTGTGATTCCATTCCCTGCATGTCCCTTCATCAGTCTGCAGAGTTCCCCAGCTTCCCCCAGACGTCCTGTCCCAGGGGCTCCATGCTGGCCTGTCCATCGGCATGGTGAAGGTTGGCTCTTGCCCAGCCTGTCTCTCTGCCCAGTGTGTTCATAACCTCCCCCCTTCTTACTCTGTTTGATGAGGTCCTTGATCAAACAAGGGCACAAACACCCTCACCTTCCACATTCCCTCATAGAATCCATCATGGAGCGAAATCAAGCAGCTCTTCCCTGGGTTCACTGTTGCTGTTAGAACTTCCTAGGAACGTGGTTTTTGCCTGTACCATCTGTAACAACCCTGTGCATGGCTCAGGTGCCACCAGCTGTGGTCACACCTGGGTTGGGGATCAGACTGGGAGTCCCACGGTGGTCTCGTCTGTCCCTCCTGTTGTGGTGACACTGATCTCTTCTTGGCTGACCCCAAGTGCAAGAGGGGCTCCAAGAGCACGGAGCTGCATCTTCTGCTGCAGGATGTGACCTGCCATCCCCTGTCATGTGAGAGCTGAGGCCCAGGCCAGCTGTGCCCATGTGATGTGATGTGAGGGTCAGGGAATGAGGGTGCTGCCCTGGCTTCTGTTCCATGGCTTCAGAACAGGAAATGAAACTCAGTATTAACCCTACATTATTAAATAACTCAATTTATTAAATTGGGTATTTTAACCCCCCTAAATCATTCGGTAAATAATTAAATATTAAAATATTACTTTTCTCTTACACTGTAGCACACTTAAAGTTGTTTATCGAGAACCCTCAAGTGAATTGAAAGTTCCCCAATCTTTTCCCTCCTGACTTCATTCTCTGTTCCCCGCAGAGCCGCCGCCCGTGATCCACGTCCCCCACAACGTGTCGGTGTTGCCCGGGGCCGGGGCCATCCTGACGTGCCTGGTGCTGAGCCCCGGGCGGTACAACCTCAGCTGGGCCGGGGGGGACGAGCCGGGCCGGCTGCGGCTGCTGCCCAACCTGTCCCTGGAGCTGCGGCCGGCCCGGCCCGGGGACAGCGGGCCCTACACCTGCACCGCCGCCAACGAGGGCGGCTCCGCCTCGGCCACCGTGTTCCTGAGCGTCCAAGGTACTGGGGCTGTGGGACAGACTGACCGGGGGGCTGTGGGACAGGCTGTGGGACAGACTGACCGGGGGCTCTGGGACAGCCTGACCGGGGGGGCTGTGGGACAGCCTGACCGGGGGCTGCGGCTGCACCGGCCCTGCGAGTGTCCAAGGCCAGGCTGGACGGGGCTTGGAGCAGCCTGGGCTGGTGGAAGGTGTCCCTGCCCATCCCTGGATGAGCTTTAAGGTCCCTTCCAACCCAAACCATTGCAGGATTCCATGAAAAATGTCAAANCGTGGGGGGGTCAAGATGGTCCTGAGGGGGTCAGGATGGGGGTCCTGGGGGTGGTTCAGGATGATGTTCCTGCTCCTTTAGTGTGCTGGGGGGGTTCCAGGATGACACTCCAGTCCATTCAGCCGCTCCTGCCCATCCCAAACATTTCTTTCCCTCTCGTTCCCCCTCTGTCCCAGTTCCCCTCCACAGGCTGCCCAGGCCATGGAGAAGTTCGGGATGAGCTTCGGGGGCGGCCCCAGCAGGAAGGACCTGCTGGACACCATCGAGGCGCAGAAGCAGCAGCTGCTGCGGTACCAGGCGCGGCTCAAGGATGTGGTGCTGGCCTACAAGAGCCTGCTCAAGGAGAAGGAGGCGCTGGAGGCCAGCCTGAAGGTGCTCTCTGTGTCCCACGAGGGCCATCTCCCAGCGCCCGGCCCTGGGGAGCCCCTGGATGACCAGAGCTCCGAGCACAGCGAGGACAGTGCGGGCACAGCCGCCAGCGCCGACACCGCGGCCAGCGGGGCCAGCAGGGACACGGCGGCCAGCGGGGCCAGCAGGGACACGGTGGCCAGTGGGGCCAGTGTGAGCAGCACCACGGGGGACGGCGCGAGCGGCAGCACCGGGGACACCGCGGGCGGCGTGAGCTGCGCCGGGGCGGACGCGGGGCCCGAGGAGGACAGACCCGCGGCCCACAGGGCCGAGGAGCCTCCCGGCCCCGAGGGGGACCTCGGCGAGTCCGAGCGGAGGCTCCTGCAGCTGAAGGCCCAGCTGGCCACCCTGACGGGCGCGCTGGCCACGGTGACGCAGGAGAAGTCGCGCATGGAGGCCTCGTACCAGGCGGACAAGCGGCAGATGCGGCAGGAGCTGGAGGAGGCGGCGCGGCGGGCGCGGGCCGAGGCGGAGCGGCTGGCGCTGGAGCTGGGGGGGCTGCGGGAGCAGCTGGCCGAGACCAAGGCCCGGCTGATCACGCAGCAGCACGAGCGGGCGCGCGAGCAGGGCGACCACGCCGAGATGCTGCGGGAGCTGCAGGAGCTGCTGCGCGCGGAGCGGGAGCTGCGCCGGGACGCGGAGCTGCGGCTGGAGCAGGGCCGGGACGCGCCCGCCGGCAGGGCCGGGGCGCCCGAGCGGGCGCAGGGGCACGAGCAGCACGTGCGGCAGCTGAGCCAGGAGCTGGAGGAGCTCAAGAGGGAGCTGCAGGGGGTGCGGGAGGAGAACAGCAAGGCCGACCCCCGCATCCAGCAGCTCCAGGAGGAGATGGCCGGGCTCAAGAACCACTTCCAGGTGCAGCTGGTGCAGGAGATGAAGAAGGTGAGTCCTGGCTGGGAATGGGGGGCGTGTCCAGGGATTCAGGAAGGGTTTGGGGCTGGAGGAGCCAAATTCCCCCTCCCAGTCCATCAGAGTCCAAAGACCTTAGAGTCCCTTCCAGGGCCTAAAGAGGCTCCAGGACAGCTGGAGAGAGACTTGGGACAAGGCATGGAGGGACAGGGCTGTGAGGGTGGTGGGGCCCTGGCCCAGGCTGCCCAGACCATCTATGACTGCCCCTGGATCCCTGGAAGTGTCCTATGCCAGGTTGGATGGAGCTTGGAGCAAGCTGGTCTGGTGGAAGGTGGATGGGAGTAGTGGATCTAGTGGCAGGGGATGGGAATAGAGGATCCTGAAGGTCCTTTCCCACCCAAATTGTTCCATGATTCCAAATACGCAAATCCCCGAGAAGCCAAGGCCGGGAGGTGTCTCCTGCAGGATTCCCGGGGAAGGGGAGGCCCCGCAGTGGTTTGGGGTGGGGCAGAGCAGAGCTGAGCACCCCGTGCCCCCCGTGCTGCCCTGACCCTGCCCCGTCCGTGCCCCCAGACCGCCCAGGCCGAGGAGCAGCTCCGGCACCGCGCACAGATGGAGGAGCGGCGCGTGGCCGACCTGGAGGCTCAGGTGTCCCAGGCGTCCGAGCTGCTGGGCACCTACGAGAAGGCCAAGCAGAAGGACCAGCAGGTCATCCAGAAGCTCAAGGACCGCATCGTGCAGCTGGACCTGGAGAACAAGACCTTGGCCATCGCCGCCTCCAGCCGGGCCCCGGGGGACATCCACGGCGAGGAGGCCAACCTGGACGTGAACGTGCTCAAGGACAAGATGGAGAAGCTGAAGAAGCTCCTGCAGGCGGCCACCGGGAAGAGCCAGGCGGACGTGGAGGAGCCGTGCGAGCCGGAGCTGCCCAGGGGCTCCGGGGACGGCGAGAAGGCCACGGCCGGGTACTACCAGCAGGAGCTGAGGCAGCTGAAGGAGGAGTTCGAGCGCTACAAGGTGAGGGCCCAGCTGGTCCTGAAGAACAAGTCCAGCAAGGACATCAACCTGGCCAAGGAGCTGGAGGAGGCCCAGGAGCAGCTGGGGGAGCTCAAGGAGAAGTACGTGGCGCTCCAGCTGGCCTCGGACGACGCGGAGCGGCGGCACCGGCAGGACGTGGAGGCCAAGAGGCAGGAGCTGTCCCAGCTGCAGCAGCGGCACCGGCAGGAGCTGGAGAGGTGCCAGCTGGAGTACCGGGAGCGGGCGCTGCGCCTGGAGGAGGAGATGCACAAGCAGCGGGACCGGGCGCTGGCCGTGCTGGCCGAGAAGGACCAGGAGCTGGAGCGCCTGCGGGCCCTGGCGCTGCCCCACGCGCTGCCCCACGCGCTCCAGGCCTCCCAGAGCTCCCCGGACGTCCCTCGCGGCGACTCCCCCGGCCACGGCTCCTCCGAGGTTCTCCCCCAGGGCCTCCCCCTGCCCTCGGGCTCCGAGCCCACGTTGTTCCTGTACGCGGAGCAGCTGGCGCGCAAGGAGGTGGAGGTGTCGGCGCTGCGCAAGCACCGGCACGGCCTGGAGGTGCAGCTGCACCAGCTCAGGGAGAAGGCCCTGGCCGAGCAGGAGAGGCACCGCGAGGAGGTGGCGGCGCTGCAGGGCGAGATCCAGAAGAACTCCCGGGACAGGAGCAGGGAAGGAGCCAACCTGGAGTACCTGAAGAACGTGGTGTACCGGTTCCTGACGCTGCCCGACGCGCGGGGCCGGCAGCAGACGCTCACGGCCATCCTCACCATCCTGCACTTCAGCCCCGAGGAGAAGGAGGACGTCGCCAGGCGCTCGGCCCAGGGCAGCTGGTGGCTCCACGGGAAGAGATGAGGGGGCAGCTCTTACTCCCTTGTCCGTGAGAACATCCTGGTGATCGACCAAAACCACTTTGCTCGTGGTGAAACCTCCTCCCGACCGTGCCCGGAGCTCCCGGTCACAATTTGGGCTTGAACCGGTGTTTTTAGCACCAATTTGCAGTGGAATTGTGCCAACTCTTCCAGCCCTGGTGTGGGAATTTGCTCTGAGTTGGGACTTGGTTTAAAACCCCTGGAACTGAGGATCCTGATGCTTTTTTAAAGAGGGGTTTAGAATGATCCCAACCTGTCAGGCGTGGGTTAGGGTGGAACTCACTTGGATCTTCAAACTCCAGCCGGGCTCGTGACTCAGAAGATTAAAAGGAGGGTGGGAAGCACTTTAGATGGAGCTAAAATAGCACCAGACCATGAGAGGCTCAAAGGATGAGGTTTAATGCAGAAAATCTTGAGCGTTTTCTCCAACGTTTCTTCTCCAGAGCCAATTTAACAGTGGCTGCAGCCCCAGGCCCCTCCCATGGCTCAGGTGTGCTCTCCCTCCTGCCCAGGGATCCTCGGGAATTCTCAGTGATTCCAGGATGGAGAAAGGCTCTCCTGGATGTTGAAGTGGAACCTGTGGTGGTGCCAGGCATGATTCCCCACCCCAAGGTGCCACGTGAGCAGGAATTGGAGCTGCCTGACCCTGTTTGGGAGCAGGAAGCAGAGGAAAGGCTGCCCTGCCCTGCTCCTCGTTTTTGGCAGTTCCAGGGAAGTTTTGCTGCTGTGCAGTGCTGGTTTTGGAAGGAAGGCCCCGTTCCTGCTGGGATGGAGCAGTGGGGGGCAGGGGGTGGCAGGTCCGGGCAGTGCCTGCAGGGACCTGGAGGTTCTTCCCTAATTTCCATGGGAACTGGTGAAAGAAGGAAGCCAGGACATCCTGAAACCCGCTCCCTGAGCCCCAGGAGGGATGTTTTGCTGGTGGGCCTGGAACAGGCTCTTCCCAGCTCTGCTCTGATGGAGCACAGGCCGAACATCCCTGTGGTGTTGTTTTTCTGCCCCTTGTTTGGAGTTAAACCTTGGCTACTAAAGCTCAGCTTCCCCGGCCCAGAGTACAGGGATGAGTCTGGATTAACACCCCCGGGTGGGCCTGGAGTTAAAAGCAGGTCGGGGGAGCAGCTCCTGGTGCTGCCCTGCCCGGGGGGGCCTTGGGAAGGGCAGCAAACTCCAATTCCATGGCAGGATCCTGCCCTGCCCTTGGGGCTGGAGCTCTGGGAGCTGCAGGAGCAGCAGTGTGGAGGAGGGATGTGCTGTGTCCCCTCACAGCTCAGGGAAGGGCCTGGATGTTCCCTGTCCCTGGGCTGGGAAAGGAGGGGCTGCCATGTCCCCAGGGGGACAGACTGGGGGTCTCCCATGTCCCCAGCCCATCCCAGGGGACCCCCCAGTGGCCTGGGACAGGGATCTTGGGGTGCTGCAGCCACCCTGGTGCTTCCAGGGGGAGGGACCCTGGGGTGCAACACCCCTCCTTGCCTCCTTAGCTGTCCTGGTCCTGCCAGCAGCCAAATCCCCTGGATTCCACTGCCACTAACTCAGCCCTTGGTGCCAATTTCTCCTCAAAAGAGTCCTCAGGGAAAACGTGCCCTGGGCAGAACCTGTCCCTGCTGGGAGGGATCCAGGTGCTGCTGGGATGGAGGGAACTGGATGGGAAAGGGACAGTTTGTCCCAGGAGTGTTTGGAACGCTTCCCAAGGGTGCAAGTGTTGGCTCAGCCAGGGAAGAGCCTGGACCCTGCTCCCAGTTTGGAAAGGTTGAATTAAGTGGTGCCTCTGGAATAACAGGGCTGGCTCCAGCTCTCACCCTGGAGCCATTCCCACAACACCAGAGGGAGATGGTGCCTCCTGCTTTGGCTTTGCTGCTCGGGCTGAGGGGATGATCCCTGTTCTCCCTCTGCCTCGTGCTCTCCTGGAGGATGAAGAGACCTGGAATGGATCCCAGGTGTGGTGGGGATCAATGTGGGATCCAGCTGGGAGGAGAGGAACAAGGTGGGATCCATCTGGGAGACAGGGATCAGTGTGGGGTCCCAGATGGGAGCGGGGGAACAAGGTGGGATCCAGTCGGGAGCACAGAGATCCACTGCCCAGGGATCCCCTGATCCCTCCGTACCTGATGGAGGAGAACAAGGAAGCAGCTGCCCAGGAGCACATCCAGGAGCTGCCAAACGAGTCCCCTGTGTCACTGTCACCCTCCTCAGCTCTCCTGCTGCAGTTCTTCCCCTGCCCCCTCCAGCCCCTCTCCCTCCTCCTCCTCCTCCTCCTCCTCCTCCTCCTCC